CTGTTGGTAATAATGCTACGTCATTTCTGCGAGCAATATAGTGAAATATTTGACCTTGGGCCTTACTAGTATAATACAATATAGTATAATACGAAAAATTGATATGATAGCTATAATATCATCATAATATATTATATAATATGTAAAAATCGATATGATATAATATTTATAGGATATCATGTGATTTTGAGGAATATCATTTTTTTCTACGAGGTGATATTTACACGCCTAACCATCGACAAGGTACAGTCACGTGACCGTGACAAAATATGCCGTAGTACACTTTTGATGTACTATGTCATTTCCGCCATTTTAGATCGCCATTTTCTAGAATGAGGAAGCGAGGAAAGAACTAGCATTGATTTGATCAATATTGTGTCAGTTCATCATCGGGTAGTTGTTGCATTCGATTTGTAATTAAGTTGCAAATATGCATATCTACTTTAAATGATCCTCAGCAACTTCAATATCTTGTTATAGATCTACCCAGCACGTCAGGGATCTCTAAATCTTGACTGAATTTCTCAAAATTCTCTCTAATTTTTGTTTTGCGATGCAAATAACAGCCAAACTACGACTAACACAACTTAAGATAAGTATAAAAATATACATTCAGAGTTAATGCAAAACCGCTTTTTACTTTGGATGCTACTACGAAAAATAGATAATGTATGTTGTCAACTCGAATGTATGTTGTCACATTGACCTTACAGATCTCAATTCACAGTTAATTTTACAGTGAATGAAATGCTATAATGTACGTGTAATAGAAGGAACATATTCGATAATAAAGTAATAATATTTAATAGGCATATCAGATATATTTACCCTAATATTTTTTCAGTTAATCCATGAAATTGTCATTGATATAATTAAATGTCAATGTTACTAATTCTTTTTTTTGTGTTCCATACCTGGCTTTTGAACTTCTGCACTTTTCAGATATATAGTGTCCCAAAGTATGCCCCCCTCCCTAGGCAGACATATACCAATGTCTCCATAGTATGTGTCAAATATCATTTTTAAGCTTATCCAAAGTTACACTGATTTGTCAAAAATATAGTTCATTTCAGTATCCTGGAAACAGCCCTGACCCTGTGACAGAAAATATGGATGCCATTCTCGAAGATAGGATGGCTATTGAGTTCTAAAAAGATGACGTTTAGGGTAGATACTCCAAGGAAACTCTTCTTATGCCTTAAAAAGGTTTCATGAGGATTACAAAACGCCATATCCCTCTTTGAAGCCTGTTTAAGGTCATATATGGAAAGTATTGCTGCACGGCGGCTAAGGAGACACGCCGACTATTGTTTTGGTGTAAAACTGACTTTAATTTTGGCCAAACACTAACTTTTGTATTCATGTAACTTTTTCCATTTGTGAGTTGAACCATGATACTCGGCAAATTAATATAACTTTGGATGAGCTTTAAAATGATATATGACACATACTATGGAGACATTGGTATATGTCTGCCTAGGGGGCCCATACTCTCGGGACACCCTATAGCATAAATTTTGAAAGTCATCTTGCTAGTATAGATCTCTCCATGAACTCCTTGAGATTATTAAAATTCATAAAAATGCAACTAAACATAACGTAACGTACCGACGCCGAGTGGCCAAAAAGGTCGGAAGATATGACGCCATTGTCACATATTAATCACCATAGTTAACACTTTCATAAAATAAAATAGCATTCAACGAAAAAATCACGTTTACCTGTTTATCTCTACTAGGGATACAGGAGCATGTTCGTTGAACATCACTTGTTACGCATAAAACCCTTTATGCATTTTGAAATTAAATCATTGCAATGTTTAATATTATAACTCATGAATTTCAATTACAGGGACAACATACACTGTGAGTTGACAACGTACATTTCTGATTTTTTAAATTATACCAAATGCATGAATATTTATTAAATCTTAACCCGTCTTAAATTGTGCAGTTTAGAGAAACACATTCTCATTAAAATATTCGTCACTCTGAGACGTCAGGGGAGAAAATTATCAAAGGAAATGTGTAAAAAACAACATTTTTCCAACCGAACAATTGTATGGGTAGACGTATAACGAAAAAAATCGAGCACTGCTCGAAGATCTTTTAACGTAATTAGAAAAATAAATGTCTTTGAAATCGAATACACGCGAAATCAAACAGGAAATCCTTTTTGTATTCCTCAAATTTATTTTTGAAAACCTGCATCAAACCTACATCATAGTCTTTGCTTAAAATCAGTTAATAGTGACATTGTACATCAAAAGTGTACTACGGCATATTTTGTCACGGTCACGTGACTGTACCTTGTCGATGGTTAGGCGTGATTTATATCTGCACGAGAGAGCGAAGCGAACGAGTGCATATCAATATCACCGAGTAAGTCCTCGAAATGTCCGGGGTTTTATCATACAGCAGCATACTCATAAAGCATTCGATAGTTGATGAGTGAAGCATATTATTAAATATCAACCTTGACATGCTACGATTTACATGTTACATATTTGTCAGGATCACAAAAGTGACTAAAATATGTTTTGAGCATAAATATTGTCCTTATAGCCCTATGTTTAGAAAAGTGTTTACATCTGTTTTGTGAGGCTGGTACCACTCGTTTGATTGTGCCCTGGACATGCTCGTGAATGTTCGATAAAACCATAGTATTAAAATCTAGTCTTAAATAGGTTGTGCACGAACATGGGTCCATTTAAAATATTTTGCCAACGAGAATTTATCAATACCCGCGGGGAAACTAGAACACATTGTATTTTATAAGACTAGTATTTTAAAAAGTGTATTTTTATATAGTATATCTACTAGAGAGCTTTCGATATAAGTTATTTGGTCAAATTGTACGTAAACTTGTGTTTCTAAATAAAAATACAAGGTGTAACATAACGAAGGCTAGTAAAAAATCTCAAAATGTCGGATGTAATATAACATTCAAATGCAAACTATTTGTAACTTTTAAACCGTATTTATCATGTCTGAGATCTCTTAGTCCCTTAAATGATCAAAACCAATAAAAATGTTCATTTTGCGAAATGAAAATGAAAATATCAAAATTCTAGGTGCAAACAACATTCGAGTAAAAAAAACACACCAGCACAAAACAAATGTACTGGTATATTATAAAATATATTTTTAGAGAACCAACAGGGAAACGATACTTCAATGAAAAATACAATCTCTCCGAATATGAATGGAAATCGACCTTTAGATTACCCTTTGAAGTTGCCCGTGAACCAAAAATACAAAGCTATAGGATATCATATGGTTTTGAGGAATATCATTTTTTCCACGAGCTTTCAATATAAACTCTTATTAAACCTCACGCCGTGCAATTTATTTCTGTTTAATAAAAAAAATCTCTGCATCAAACTTATGCAACAAATGTAACCTTGGCCAAATTGACTATACCCTTCATTTCTACATCGATTGCCTAACAGTAGTGAATTTCTGGAATGACATGTCAATTTTTTTCAATAACATTCAATTATACAATAGGGATATATTACTAGGCGTTACAAATAATCAAGAAAATGACAATAAATCTGTACTTAACTATTGCCTACTTCATTTACCCTTTCAAATTGGGTATTTCGATTATCAACATCAACGGTTTTAAAAATATCTTAAGAAACAGAATAAAAAATGAATTAAGAGTATGAACAGAAAATCAGACTAGGCCAATCTTTATTAAAAAATGAATTTCTATTCTTAACAAACTGGAGATTCGTTTTTAACAAAAAACCTGACTGTACTTACTTGTGTTTTTATTACCGTATTGTATTTTCACCATTCTATGTACCTGTATGCTATGATTATGTTGTACAAACATGTGCCATTTATAATGTTTTTATATTTCGTTAATAACGAGGTAATTCTGTTAGCGATTACAAGTACCCAAAGCTGTGTTTATGCGTGTGAATAATGATGTGTTGTAAATGGTAAATGTAAAAGTAAAAATGAAAATAAATATATTATGTTAAAAAAAGACTTTGGAGATGAACATGAAACACAATTAATGTACAAATACTGGAGAGGGTTTATTATGCAACCAAAACAGACTCGCTCCATGAATCGCTAGCAAAAGAGTAAACTATTGTCATCGTTGGTTTTGTAAAACACATTACTATACGTAAAAAAATAATCGAAAAGAGTTTAAACGGGACCGACCGACCCCTCCCCCCCCCCCCCCCTCCATCCCGTTTTAATTATTTTCGATTATTTTTATATAACGTATAGTAACGTAGTAACAAAACCAATGATGACAATATAGTTTATTGATAATAACTTCACTTACAAGTATTTATTACAGCCAAAACATTGGCATTTGCACGATGGCGACGCTGCGCCTTTTTAATAGATCTTTTACCTTAGAAGTCAATCAGTTCAAAAAAATCGTAGAAGACCTAACATATTTCCCCGTGTACTGCGCCTATTCATTTAGCAATTCAATAGTAAACTTTCTCTTAAAAAATCAAATCTCCAAGATTTCTTGAATTTTCTACCGAAAATCAGCTAATCCCACTCCATCCGATTCTTCCGATCACCGGGCGTGATCATGTACAAATGAAATTTATTTAGTGATAACAAATATTGAACCATCTTGTTTTGTTTGTGCCCTGAAAATTCCAAAATGGTAGCCCATTTTGGAATGTATGTGTGCTTTTATGCAAATTGACCTTTTTCTTGTTCAAACTCAAAGGCCTTTTTAGGATCTCCATTTAAAGAAGATACTTTTAAGATTATTCTCAAGAACTTAAAAACTTAATTAGTTAATTTGAGAGAACATATTTTCTAAATTCTGATTGTAGATGGCTGCCATCAAAAAGATGAACAAGGTTATGTGAATTAAAGAGAAATACTCAACATGGACAATTTCCAAGGTGACAACGCTAGTGGTTTCTCTTATTCTAACATCGACCAACCCCATAGTTATGCAGATGAATCATCAATTGATGATGAACTCATCGACCAGCTGGAAGCTGAAAACAAAAGAAAGGCTGCTGAAATAAAGCGACTAAGATATCATAAACTTAAAGAACAAGAAAGATATCTGAATGAAACATTATCGACACTGACAATTGACTCGGATATATCAGATATGGGCAACCGTATGGACGATGTTAATGGTAAATATAATCTCCGACAACTAAATTCAAATATACTAGCGTCCACAAAAAAGTATATCAAACTTCAAAGCCAGGATATTGGAATTCTGAACAATTTTTATCGCACCCTCAGGTGCTATATTGTAATCAGTTTGCCGGGCGGGCGGGCGTCCCGAATAATCTTGTGTACAGGTTTCCAGCCAAACCGTTTGAGGAATTCATCTGAAATTCTCAGGGATGTTTGTACCTATGAAAGTTTAGAACTGATTAGTTTTTGGCATTCTGGGTAAATGTCAAGGCGGCCATTTTGGATTTTCTGTCCTAAAATCTTGTCTGTCAAGGCTTGTCTACGGGTTTCCAGCCAAACCGTTTGAGGGATTCATTTGAAATTCTTAGGGATGTATCTACCTATGAAAGTTTAGAACTGATTAGTTTTTCGTCATTCTGGGTAAATGTTAAGGCGGCCATTTTGGATTTTTCGTCCCAAAATCTTGTCTGTCAAGACTTGTCAACAGGTTTCTAGCCAAACCATTTAAGGGATTCATTTGAAATTCTCAGGGATATCTCTACCTATGAAAGTTTAGAACTGATTAGTTTTTCGGCATTCTGGGTAAATGTTAAGGCGGCCATTTTGGATTTTCCGTCCTAAAATCTTGTCTGTCAAGGTTTGTCTACAGGTTTCCAGCCAAACCGTTTGAGGGATTCATTTGAAATTCTCAGGGATGTCTCTACCTATGAAAGTGTGGAACTGATTAGTTTTTCGGCATCCTTGGTAAATGTTAAGGTGGCCATTTTGGATTTTCCGTCCCAAAATCTTGTCTGTCAAGACTTGTCTACAGGTTTCTAGCCAAACCGGTTGAGGGATTCATTTGAAATTCTCAGGGATGTTTCTACCTATGGAAGTTTAGAACTGATTAATTTTTCGGCATTCTGGGTAAATGTTAAGGCGGCCATTTTGGATTTTCCGTCCTAAAATCTTGTCTGTCAAGACTTGTCTACAGGTTTCTAGCCAAACCGTTTGAGGGATTCATTTGAAATTTTCGGGGATGTTTACCTATGAAAGTTTAGAACTGATTAGTTTTTTGCATTCTGGGTAAATGTTAAGGCGGCCATTTTGGACTTTCCGTCCTAATATCTTGTCTACCAAGGCTTGTCTACAGATTTCCAGCCAAACCGTTTGAGGAATTCATTTGAAATTCTCAGGGATGTTTCTACCTATGAAAGTTTAGAACTGACTAGTTTTTTGCATTCTGGGTAAATGTTAAGACGGCCATTTTGGATTTTCTGTCCTAAAATCTTGTCTGTCAAGGCTTGTCTACAGGTTTCCAGCCACACCGTTCGAGGGATTCATTTGAAATTCCTAGGGTTGAATCTACCTATGAAAGTTTAGAACTGATTAGTTTTTCGGCATTCTGGGTAAATGTCAAGGCGGCCATTTTGGATTTTCTGTCCTAAAATCTTGTCTGTCAAGGCTTGTCTACAGGTTTTCAGCCAAACCGTTTGAGGGATTCATTTGAAATTCTCAGGGATGTCTCTACTTATGAAAGTTTAGAACTGATTAGTTTTTCGGCATTCTGGGTAAATGTTAAGGCGGCCAGTTTGGATTTTCCGTCCTAAAATCTTGTCTGTCAAGGCTTGTCTACAGGTTTCAAGCCAAACCGTTTAAGGGATTCATTTGAAATTCTCAGGGATGTTTCTACCTATGAAAGTTTAGAACTGATTAATTTTTCGGCATTCTGGATAAATGTTAAGGCGGCCATTATGGATTTTCCGTCCTAAAATCTTGTCTGTCAAGGCTTGTCTACAGGTTTCCAGCCAAACCGTTTGAGGGATTCATTTGAAATTCTTAGGGATGAATGAATTGCCCCGCACTTTAAAAATACTGGATAGATCTTAAATAGTAAGATAATAGTAACAGTAACAATCACATATGAAAAACAAAATAAATGATTTGTTCTAATCCTGTGTTGTTTGTTTTTTAATTGTGTTGTAATAATCTAAATTTTCTCTCTGAAATACATATATTTTTATACGGCTGCGAGCTTCTTTATGTTCGTTAACGCTGCCAGTCTCTACATGTTGTGCTGAGAGAAGCTTTAGTGCTCTGAAAAGGCTTAAAACTTATCTCAGATCGACAATGGACGAGGACCGGTTGAGTGCCTTGGCGTTGCTTCATATTCACAGAGACTGCTCCAAAGATATGAATGTCGAAAGAGTCATTGAAAAATTCGCTAACTCCAAAAACAGGCGTGTGAACCTTATATTATAATGAACGACGCGATACGTGTTTAATATGACAGTTTCACAGTTACTTATAACGAAGTTTATACTTATAAACAATGAGTATACAGTTATAAACAATAAAATGACGCCAACGAGTTTTATTTCCAAGAAGCACCTATTTCGTCTGCCATTATTTTAAATGGGGTTCATGTAATCATAAAATATTGGATAAAAATGACTAATGATTTACATTTAATTGGTCCAGATTAAGTCGGAATTTCGTATGACAAATCGACCCAGGACGCTTCAAATGCAATCTCATTTTAAAAGTTTCTTGGGGGAGAACCCCCCCAACCCCCCTCGAACTCGTTCGCTTCGCTCACTCGTGGCGTACTCTCACAAGATACCCACGCTACGCCTCTGATAACGATCGTTAGAGTGAAATAGTTTTCGCACTACTGATGAGAAAACATGTCTAAATACATTTATCAAAAAATCATATTGATTCCTGTAGGTTAAAAATGCCATTTCATATCTGCTTTAAATATTTGTTCGTTTTTAGAATTGGCAAAAAAGGTTAAACAACTTGAAGACCATTTCGACAAGGAGTGTGATAAGAAGAATGAGAGGATACAAAAGATGACAAATCTCGCTATATTTAAGTTCGGAAAATATATGGAGAAACGTCAAAGCACAATATCAGAACTTAGAAGGGCTGCAGACACTATAGACATTGAGGCAAAAGAAAAGGCTGGTAGGGACTTCAACAAAGCAGCTGTATCGACAACAGCAGACGGAGTCGCTTTAGCAAGTTTTGGAGCTGCATTCTTTACTGCAGGTGTTGGTGCCATACCAGGTATTGCGGCAACTGCAGTGAGTATTGGGTCAGACATATGTAAAAATTCAGATGACCAATATGTTGAAAGGGTTATGAAAAGGCACATCGACGAGGTCAATGAAAAAATAGCAAAAGAAGAACGTGAACGTGTTTTATTCTTTTCATTTCTTGATCAGTTGAAAAATGAAATTAATGACTTTGCAAATTATCAAATGTCACATTCTGACAGTATTCAAGAAATGAGTCATTATGTTAAAAGTAGGAATGCGAGTTATGGGAAGTATCAACCGCTGACTGGTGTTGCATCTCTAACATGTAAAGCCATCGCTCAAAATCCTGAAAAAGTTGTACACGCGTCCAAAACAGTAGTTCAAGTTGTCAACAAATCTGTAAAAATGTTTGTGCAAAAGTCGGATAAGATAATCCCTTTCGCTCACAAGGGGCAAAAATTACTTGAGAAAGTCGGTAGAAATTATGCTGTTTTGGACTCCAAAACAAAAGCGCTATCTCTCACCAAGACAACAACAAGCGCAACCAATGCAGTTAATAAAACTGCATTTGAGTCTATGGGTAAAGTTGGCAAAGTCTTTCATGTCGGCGGTGGAGTATTGAGTGCTGTTATGCTGTACAAAGATGTACAATCTTTGTTTCACGCTCATCAGGCTTCACAAGGAACAAATTCAAGTACTGCACGTCAAATAAGGAGTATAGCTGACGAATTGGAGCGTGGCATTCCAAATGAGCAAGACATGGACACAATTCTTGAGAATTATTTAAATGGTTATTCTACCATATAGAAATAGTTTTTATCACATCATAAAAATATGAAACCATCAAAATATATGAAGTGCGCGTTAACAGTTTTTTTGTGCTTTTTGAATCCTGTTTCAACATACTGCCGTCTGTAAGCTAGGATTCGCAAATTCAAATGCCGGATGTCGGCTGACAGTTTAACCTACTGTTTTTATGACCAACTAATCTAAATATGAAAGGAATGGTGGCGGGTATAATTTATATCTAAATGAGTTGACCATAAAACAGTAAGCTAAAGCGTCAGCCGGCAGTTGAATTCGCGAATGCTACCTAAGATTGTATTTTTGTTAGTGCTTATTGAAGGTTGGAGAGTGATTCCTCAACCATTTATTTATTGTGAGTGCTTATTCAACAGTGCAAAAGAATGGCTCTCGTGAATTAGAGCTAATGTAGTAATGCTATGATTTGAACAAAGTGACCCCAAAGTGATTTATCTCCCATTCCAACAATGTCACGCCCGGTGATCGTGAAAATCGGACGGAGGGGGGGGGGAGCAGTCAAAGTTTTTGCTATAAATCAAGCAACAATGGACTACACGACCTGTAATAAATACTTGTAAGTGATGTTATCATAACTAAATTAATGTCATTGCTGAATTTATAAAATAAGTTTCCATACGTAAAATAAAAAATAGTCGAAAATAATTAAAATGGGACGGAGGGGGGAGGGGACGGAGGGGGGGAGTAATAATTCTATAAAGTGAAACAACTTCACACGAATTCTTGTATTTGAAAAATGTACTCATTAACTTAGTAAGAAACTGGATGATATATCCCTGGAGATTGAAAATGGGGACATTTGGAGTAAAAGGACTTAAAGTCGCGAAACATCTCTAATCATGTCTTATATACATATTGCTCCCCCCCTCCGTCCCCTCCCTCCTCCGTCCCAACTTCATTATTTTCAATTATTTTTTATTTCACATATGGAAACTTATTTTATAAATTCAGCAATGACATTAATTTAGTTATGATAACATCACTTACAAGTATTTATTACAGGTCGTCCAGACCATTGTTGCTTGATTTATAGCAAAAACGTTGATTTGTGCCTGTTGATGGCCTTGCGCCTTTTTTAATAGATCTCATACCTTAGATGCGTATCGTTTCAGAAAAAAATCCCAGAAAACCTAACATATTCTACCATACCGTGCGCCTATCCATTAAGCAATTCAATTGTAAACTTTTTCTTGAAAAAATAAATCTTCCAGATTTGTTGAATTTCCTAGCAGAAATTGCCTGCCCCCCCCCCCCCCCCCCCCCCTCCGTCCCATATTCACGATCACCGGGCGTGAATGTGCGTTGAATGCTTGGTATAAAAGTTTCAAAAAACTTCTTGCATCAAATGCTGGCATCTCTAAAGCATAATTGGTGAGATTTGGTATTTCTTTTGAAATGTCTGTAACTTAGATGATTTTGACTTTGTATCTCTCATTAGATCATTCGGTTTAGACAGGTACTTACTGAAGTTAACTTCTGCCTTTTCTGTTCATGGGCTGCATTTTGGGGACATCCTGTACAAACAATTTGTAAACCAAAAATACATAAAAGTTCGATGATCGATGTTAAATCTGTAATACACAAATGTAAATGTTTAAAATGTATTATGGTATGTTGTGATATATTATCGGAGAGCATAAGTGAAAAACCAATCACCTTATTATATGTAAATAATATGTTCAATGAATCAAAACTCTGCAATGTAAAATGTTTAATGCGAATAATAACTTTATAAAGATGTATTGTGTTTTGTAAACTTACCATTTGTATGTAAAAGAGACTTATATTATATGTACTTAGAGTACTTGGAAAATATTAATATAACAATGAGTCCCCGTTCGTTTACGGACGTCAGACTATTGCGTTCCAGACAACAATATACATGTAGATAATACAAGTATTATTAGTATTTACATCCAACACGAAATAGTATTAACACACTGTTATAGCATGACGGTTAAGTCTAGGCGATTTGCATAATTTTGCGGTAACGATGACAAAAAATGACGGATGGGAAAGGCAGCATGTCCTCTTCTCGACTGTAGGCAATATTCACAGATAAGATTTCCTTTTAAACTAGTTCCATTCGGTGACGTATATATGGATGGTTATAAAGACTGGGTCAAATCTGCCAGGTGGTCTACAAGAAACAGAATATAAGCTATAAACCTACCGACTGAGATATCCAAGTTCATAATTTTTGGTCCATTCTCTTGTTTTCTCAGTACATGTGTCTCAGAGCCACTTAAAATATTACCTGTAAGTACATGTAACTGTGTATAAACAAGGCATAAAATGACAAATTCAGAACAGGAACGTGTATATCGTAAATAATAAGGTTTCAAACGCAATGTCGTTAGACGACTACGTATGACTTCTATCGAATTCTATGGACGGTAACGTATTGTATTAGTTGTACATAATATAATTAGCGGACGGTTACGTGCCTATACATCTGTCAAGTCAAGGTTGCTAGATCTGATAGCCTCTTTCCATGTTATTGTTTCAATGGGTAAGAAACGGAATATTGAATTCCCTATACCGGGATTTGTTTTCAGGACTCTCAAGAGACGCTCTTGTTTCAGCCTCTATAGAGCAAGGAAAAAACTGTCGCTTGCTTTATTTATCAAACAAATGAAAGTAAAAGATAGCAATGAAGAGGCAAAAGAAGATTAAGGATCAAGTACTGATGAAGATGACAAATTAATGACAATGAATCTTGGTTTCATATTTGAATCAGGTTCGCGTAACCGTCCATCAATTTTTTACATTACCGCGAATTCAAAATACATTATTAGGGCTTGAGTAGAACATATAAGGTGGTTTCCAATGCTCAATTGGCTTTGTATGATCGTATGTAGGGTACATCTATATACCCCAAGGTTTTTAGGCAATGTAGACCATGCCCTAACAACAAAAATAAAAACAAATTACTAAACTTTGTGTAGTTTTGAATTTCAAACTCGACAGTTTTTCTCCTATTTCATGTTATCCCTGGACATCAATTTGCAAAGACTACGTTCAAAATATACATTACTGAATGCATCACCGAATGCGACGCTTACATAAGTCGTTCATCCTTTCATTGATACACAGTAGTAGAAAATAATGCACCAACCTTAGTTTTCCCTTCCATCACGGCGATTTTATTGGATAAATCAGTGAACGTTGCCGTCCAACCTCGTTTTCAGAGGTGGCATAACCGTCATGCTATAACACTGTGATTAATGTTCAATTCACAACAAGCAGTTCTAGTGTAGGTAGGAAGGAAGAAAATAAACTGGATGATAGCAAAACACTGGAGTACCTTCCCAAGGTCGGAATTACAGTGCGGTATGTACGAAAGGAATGGCCATTGTCTGAAACTACATTATAAATTAGTAGCCCGGGCAGAATTGGTCAAGGGTCACTTTTTCTTTAATAACTTTTTTAATTTTCAGTATTATCAAAACCTGATTACATATATGAAACTAGAGTAAAGTTCTGACATGCAAAAAAAAACATTTAAGGAATATCTCTTCATTTAAATACACTCTTCATTTAAATACACTCAAATACATAATTTCATCATTTTACTTCATATTTGTTCATAAAAGGTGGCATGTTTCGTGAATTTGAATGTTCAATTGACATTTATTATATAAAGAATGCCATAGGCCTATATGGTCATGCTGCCACTGTTACAATCCTGGTGTAATACAGCAACTGATCAATCATCAGATACAAGGAGTCTAACTTCAAGGGTCATGACTCAACTCTATTGAAATGTTCAGGGTTGTGTTCAGGAGGATATGAAAAGTTGGCGCCCAAATATGTGGGGTGTGATGAGAGTAGGTCCTCAATTATTTCAAGAGGCCCAAACAACCATCTATTAAAAAGCTGAAGAACATTTCACATGCATGCCAAGGATGGGTTGAGAGGTGTGTTACTTGGAAGACATTAAAACGGTGGCAGTATGACCATATAACTGCAAGGGTTAGGACTAGGGCTGTACGTGCTAGGACTAGGGTTGCCAATCCACTACGGGTAACAATGGAATGGCCGAAAACTTAAGTCCTGCGACCGTACCAATTGCAATATACTGTGCATACAATGTATGAACTTTTTCAAGTATACTTACGAGTCAATTTGAAATAAAAGGTTTTAAAAGCAGTCATTACCTTATACCAAAGCAGCAGTCTACTGTATATGGCTTCGATCACTCCCCTCCATATGTTTGACAACCTTAGCTCCCCATTGAACTAAGTGTGAACACCTTTTTATGTTTGAATTTTTATTTACTCAACCTGTCATCAAATTTATCATCAATTTTCGACATAAAGTAATTGTGGAAAAAATTGAGAAAATTTGGAGGTATTGGAAATAAAGTATAAGTATTTTCATCGCAGGTTAAGTAAATAAAGATTCAAAGGTGAAGAAGCGTAGTTCAATCGGTGAGCTAAGGTTGCCAAACTTATGGAGGGTAGTGTAGGTCTATGCCATTTCCTAAATATTAACTTTCAACTGAATATTCAAATTCACAAAAAATGCTGCCATTTTTTAACATAAATGAGACAAAATGGTGAATTTTGTATTGGGGTCACTCATACTATGAATGCCAATAATATTAATATATTAAGAGACGTTCCTTAAATATGTTTTATGTATGTCAAAATTTTACTCTATGTAATCGGATCTCGATAATACTGAAAATTAAAAAGGTTATTAAAGAAAAAGTGACGCTTGAACGATTCTGTCCGGGCTATTATATTATCAGTTATTCGGGTGGAACCCCTGGCTGGCAAATGTTTCCTCTCGGGGTTCACCCTAACCATGGACTGACTCAAAATGGTATCAAATGATAAAAATATAAGTTCCGTATATTACGTGTTGTTGGAGTTTATCATGGGCTTTGTGTGTCCAAAAAACAGGACCGTAAGAAAGTTGAATTACTCGGTCAATTTTGCATATTTTGCCTTTGAAATTTCAGAATTATTTAGTTCATC